AAAAAAAAAAAGCATGAGTGAGAGAGAGCGAGACAGAAAAAGAGAGACGGTGGGAGGGAGAGCCGAGCTGAGTCTTCACTCCAGATCTTGGGGATTTTTTGAGTCTCTCGCTGCGGAATCATGCCTTCTCTACTTTGGAAGTAAGAGAAGGCTTTAACTCAGTAAATTGCTCGGGCCGATTTGTCTGTGAGACAATCCGACTCTCTGGATGGAGCCGCGCTGCCGCAGAATGAGGGCTCTGTGTTTGAACTTTGCCATCACCTGTCTGTGTCTTCTTCCCTCATCGGTGAGTTTAGATCAGCTGTGCAGCCTCCTCTCTGCTCCTGAGGCTGTGCTCATTATTATTACAAAGTGTTGTTGTTCTTGTTGTAGTGGCTCTGGGAAGTGTTAACTCCCTGCTGATTTGCGTCTGTATTGCTGATCAGTGAAACAAGTAGGTAATAATAGTGTTTATATTCCTTCCTGCTCTGGTTTTGCCACTGTCCTTCATATTGCAGTACTGTTGCACAACCAAGCTGTTTTTTTTTTCTTCTTTGGTTCAACTGTTCTTTTCTTATTAGGAGTATATGTTGGTTCTGTGTTTGACAACTAAACCAATTTGAAATTTTTGGCAGTTTTAAATGATAATGGGGAACTTGACATTGGTTGCAGAGTAGGAAGACAAAGGTAAGAATGCTAATAGGAATTTGACTGACTTGCTTCAGAATTACAGTGATTTCTGCTGATTTGAGATTCAACTTTTCTCTCTAAAATGCTCTGTAAAAGTCTGAGACATGCTTTTTCCCCCCCCAGAAATAACAGGAATTCAGCGTAGTCTTGTTCTGGTTTGGTCTTCTACTCAAGAATTTAGAATTGAAGACTTTTTATTTCATTATGTCAGATTGTCTTTGTACTTGATCAAAGTTGATTATTCTATTAGATGGTGAAGTGCAGACAAAAAGGATATACACCACCCTGACAATTTTAATTTGTTCCACTCCTGTGGTCTGCAATTCTCTTTCAGGCGTAATTGTAATTTAATCTGCTCTCGTGTCTTTAATTTAACTTTCTTAACTTTGCTGCATGAGCAGCCGACTGCAGCATCTCTAACTTTAACACTGAAGTTGTCAAGTGCAAACCTCAAAGCAGCCTCATTTTGTGCTTTACTACTTGAACTAAATGACTGTGCAATCTTTGTCAGTTTGAAAAAAGTTTCACTACCCCTAGGGCTTAAGAAACACTTTTTTTTTTTGTTAAATCACAAAAAACAGACACATTAAGTAAGGATCTTTTTAGCCGATGGCAAGATTGATCTCATTGTCCTCAACAAAGGCAAATACTACCCTCAGGTTTCTCCGATTTTTTTTATTTTTTTATTTTTTTTTTGTTTCTGCAGGTGCTTTTGCACACGTGTTGTGCTTGCATCCACTCCAACACTGTTGCTCAGTTGCAGTCGCTGTGCTGGCATCTTGACACTGAGCCAGTGACACGGCTGTCACACTGTGGGCTCCAATTAGGGGAGGTGAGAACAGCACATAGCTGGAGGTTTAGGCTTGTAACAATTGGCACAGCTGGAGCTCACTTGGTTACAGGAGAAGGCAGAGATGGTGGTTAGGGGTGATGAGAATCTCACTTGTTGGTGAGAAATAATGATATCCTGGGAGCTGTTTATTCAGAGATCTCTGTGAGAATAACCCTAAACCTCCATCTGCCTTCGACACATTATAATGAAAATAGAAATCAAGTCCCAAACAACGAGTGCGCAGAACTTTCTGCACAACTCCTGTCTCAACTCTCAAGAGGCATGGAAAATAAAAAAAAAAAAACCTTGACCCATCTCCCACACGTATCCACTTTGACACTAAAAAAATGGATTTTAATGAGAGAAAATAAAGTGTGGCACTGAGATTCACCTGCATTTGTTAGGTGTCCAATTAGTTCTTACCCTGGCTCAGTGATTAACATGAATATTTTATGACTGTGTCTGCACATTTGAACAGATCACAGCGCTACATGTCAACTGTGCAACGAATCTCAGGCATATCAGTCACATCAACATCCTCACTAATGACTTTATTTATTAGGATTTGAGTATTTTGATAGACACAACAGCAGGTGGTCGGTTGGCTTATAATAAGCTGCTTCATCAATCGTCAGCATGTATTTAATTTCAGTGTTTTTGTGTAGTGCAGTTTTTCAAAACGGAGAAGGACAGTCAACCACATTCCTCGATGTTAAATCAAATCTTCTGAGCGCTAAAAGCCAAATCACAAAACAACTATAAAATATTTAATATCTAAGCAATTAGTTGCAAGATATTCTGCACTATCTAGACATGTATTAGGAGAGTTTTTTTTTTACCCCACTCAGTATTCATTTTAAGACGGTAAAGCAGCTTAGGAAATTGTGTTGATGCACTGCACAAGTTTTGCACATAATCTGAGAGCTGTACTCTGTCGTCTTGTTTGATTTCAGGAAAAGGCCAAGGTGTTATATATATATGTGTGTAACAGAGAGAGAGAAATACCTTCATACAGTATGGAGACGAAGGAATGCAATATGGCAATATATTAAGCGAACAAAGCATGAATTCATGAGCTTTGTGTATGAAATTGTAATCCAGGTGAAAGCTTAATCCCTTATTCATTTCATGTAAGCAGTTCAAGTCAATGCAAGAACCAAAACTGAGATATGTAAAGTAATAATGAAGAGGCGAAATGTTAAAGAGGGATTTTTTTTTTTTGTCCTTTTTGAGACAGCGAAGGCACAGACAGAGCTTAACATGAGAAATATGCTGGAAGCAGTTTGCATTTTCTTTTTAACCCTTTTATTACATAATGAACTGTAAAGGCAGAATATTTTATTGACTATTCAACAGTGACCTATCATGTCCTTCTCCACTCCAAACCTATTGATTAGTAAGCCCACGGATTCGGTCCATTATCAAGGTCGCCCTGAAAGGAGGATTGAGAGGTTGAACAAGGGAGCGAGGACAGACAGTCAAATTAAAATGTGTTAATAGCTGTATGAGGCTGTGTGTGTGCATGCTGCTTGTTACTGTAGTCCTTGCCTGAAGCAGATAACCTATTGATCGCAGTCAATTTCAACTCATCCTCATTGCAAGCACCTGACACGCCGAAGAATAATTATTTTAATCGATTACCTGCTACCTTGTAACACAGCTGTCTGTCATTTATGGTCATCCTGGTGGTGAAGGCCTTTTCCATTTCTCATCCTTCTTGTCATTTTCCACAGTACATCCTACACAAACAGCATCCTCTGATACTGTATTTACTGTATTTACAGTTGACGAGTGTCGACTGAGGAGTTGTTTGTTCTCTCAAAGCGCTTCAGAAGATTAAGTCTGTTGTTTTAAGACAGAATTATGTAAAACAACAGCAAGGTGTCCGTATGTACGTTGAGGCAGGTTTTGACTGCTGTGATCATTTCCTTAGCTCATACTTGTCGTGAAGCGATCCCTTGCTTCAAATGGAAGTAAATAGGGACAAAATCCTCATTCTGTGTAAAAATGTACGCCAAAGTTTATCTATCAACTGTACATAAAAGATGGATGTAAACTCTAAACAGTTACTTAAACAGGCATTCTTTCTGACAACCAGCAGGGGGCGACTCCTCTGGTTGCAAAAAAAATAAAAAGTCTGATAAGAAAATGGCTCTACTTCTTACTTGATTTGTTACTTAAACAAACATTCTCCTAATGATTTCACGGTCTCAGTTGTTAGTTTCAAGTGTCCTTTAACAAAGCATGATGATCATTTTGTGATTTATAATTCCTTTAGAGTGAAATAGATGATAAAGTAGGATATGCACTGGCTTGTGATTGACAAGCTGCTACTCTATAGGTATGGTGATGGCCAAATTCCAAACTTGCAGCTTCAGCAGTTGTCCACAAACCAATGGGTGACATGACGGTGGCTTTCTAAACAAACAATGATGGAGTTTTGTCTTAAAAACATGTAGCTTTGGGAGGTGCCCAAATGCAGCTTCAGACACAATGCAAATCTTTGGAAAGCCTTTAAACTGCAGATGAGTTTTTCTTTTCTTATATAACCAACCTTTGTTACACTGTTTTTGTATCACAATGAGACAAGATGTAGTGAGTGGGCATCCAAAGTCATAAGCACTGAAAAGTCATTTCTTAGCAGCGTTGTTCTGTTTATATGTGTGTGCTTTTAAGGAATATCTCACATAGCAAACAAACTATGTATATGTCATTCACTTGTAGCAGAACCTGGTCAAGCAAAGAGGTTGGGTTTTAAGATTTTCATTGAATTAATAAGCATGGGTGGGTTCTCTCTGGGTTCTCCGGCTTCCTCCCACAGTCCAAAAATGTGCTGAGGTTAATTGGTGATTTTAAATTGTCTGTAGGTGTGAGTGTGAGTGTGCTTGGTTGTCTCTCTGTGTAGCCCTGTGATCGACTGGTGACCTGTCCAGGGTGTCCCTTGCTTTCAGCTGGGATAGCCTCCAGCCCCCCGTGACTTGAGGATTAAGCGGCGTATAGATAACGGATGGATGGATATTAATAAGCACCACAATACAAAAGAGTTTAACTGAATTCACACACATCTTTCCAAAAACACTGCACATTCATATCCACAGAACACACTGAAAAGTTTTTATTTTTTTAAATAGATAGTATTTCTTTGGTCAAAAGCAGCTCCACTGAAAACTATTGAGTCAGGAGTAATGGTGACACTGTTTCTGGAAATAAAATTTCTTGTGGAATTTTTTTTGGTCTAATTTTTCATTACAGCAACATGAACAAAATTTCATTGACCTCCATTGTTTTAATTTAGCATCAGAAAGCAGACAATTTCTCGAGACCCAAAGTGTAAATTCATGTGCATCATAGGTCACCACATGTAAGGGAAGAATTAGAGTCTTTCCTGTGATTGTCAGCAGAGTGCTTCAAATTTTCCTCAGTATATATTTTGCTCTCTGCAGGTCCAAGAAACATCCAAACCGTTAGACTTTCAGAGCCACCAATGGAGGGAGGAGGAAGGAGGAGGGGATGATGTTGGGGGAGCAGCAATGAAGGTCAAACATATCTCCAAAGACTTGCAAGTCATCTCCACCAAACACAAAACACCTGCTTACGGGTCACTGGGCCCGTATGGTTGGCCTCAGAATGTCTCTCAAGCCCTGGATCAGTATCTCTATCGGCCTCCTCCCAAATCCAAACCGCCTGCTAAAACATCCCCAAAGGCCAAGAAGATCCTGGGTTGGGGGGATTTCTACTTCAACGTGAAAACACTGAAGTTCAGCCTCCTGGTGACCGGGAAAATTGTGGACCACATTAACGGAACTTTCAGCGTCTACTTCCGCCACAACTCGTCCCGACTGGGAAACATATCGGTCAGCATCGTCCCGCCCTCCAAAACTGTAGGATGGGAGGTTCTGGATCCTGCAGCTCACACCAAAAACTCAGTCCTTCTTCCAGATGTGACGTCCCAGCTTCCCCCTCAATCCACAAGCCCGACTCCTCCCGAGCAGCAGAAGCATCAGCTGGACATGATGACGGTGACCGAACTCAACTGTCGGATTGAGTATCAGAGAACCAACCGGTCCAAGAAAACCAAACCATGCATGTATGATCCTGGACAGACTTGCTACTCAGAAAACACCCAATCCCAGGCAGCCTGGATCTGTGCCAAACCCTTTAAGGTTATATGCATCTTCATTGCTTTCACCGGGACGGATTACAGGCTGGTGCAGAAAGTTTGTCCAGACCACAACTTTCAGACAGAGCAGAACCAGCAGCACTTTGGATGACGGAGAAGCCGAGATATCACCACTGACTTATCATACATCCTTCAAAATCATATGTTCAGTCTTTAAAACAGATTCAAAATTGACTGTTTTTACACAGTTTCAACACATTTTCAACTTGTCGGTGAGCGTGGTTTGAGCCAAAGCTTGTGTTAATAGCAGAACCTGATAATAATGACTCTTCAATTGGGAGCTTTGTGTTTGTCTGCAGCTACATTCATCCACCAAAACATTACACATTGTCCTTAAAAAAAACAATACCGGGGACTTCTTTTGTACCGTCAGTTTTTGTTCTCTCAGTTTGCATTAATAATCATCCAGAATGTGATATATGCTAATAATTTCTTAACTCAGTCATTTCTTTACTCTTTAATAAACCTAATAATATTGTATATATACATATGTTTAGGGGTAGAATCATCTGCAGTCTTTGAAACAGACCGACTTCAAGTGATTTTTTTTTGCTTAGAAATCAATTCCTTGCCTGTTTATTGTATGAATAGCCTTGACTTATTAGATACTTCATCTTCAAAGAACTGAAACAGACCGAAGCGAAACAGATGATTTACTGCAGCAGTCACTTTTATCAGTGACGCAAAGTACGCATGTCCCTGGCACGTGTCCAGGACTGATTTTACTTTCACCCTTTGTACCTTGGAAGTCTTCTGTTTTGCCAAGCCCTCAACTGACACAGACATGCTTTCTCTGTCATTACGCCAAACATTGCGGGTAAGTGCATTTGTCTACGAATTAATTCGACTTTTTAAACAACAGTCATACTTGTATCTGCAATAGGAGATATTCTTTTCCTGCATGTAAAAGCAGTAGATCACTCATTACTGCTAACTAGGGCAGCCTGTCACCTCAGGTCACCACAATCCTGATAGAAATGTCTGGCTTGAAGATGTACAGTTTTCCGTTGTGCTCTCAGTTTGTCAGTCCAAAACAGAAAAGAGCACCACTGTGCTTTATGCAAGACTTATTATACTGAAGGCTTACAGAACATAATGAATACAAAAGATGAAAGGAGGCTTACTTCAACATATATTTATGCTTGAATGGTAATCTCTCTATTAGGCCAAAGTAACACATAGTTGCATAACTATCATGCTGCTACAAGCTGGCTTCAACAAACAACACCCTGATAACTAAGTTACTGCATGTCTGACGAGCACACGTACACTTTTCATGTCCAAGGTTTTCCGTAACTGCTCCGCTGAATAACACGTTTGGTTTTTCACTGCCTTTCATTTAATGGATTGTTTAGAACATCAAAAGACACATTATTCTAACTCCCTTGTTTCCAAACCCCTGGTGCAAAGTATTGTAATTTTGAGTGATGAAAGTGTTTTTGCACAGGCTCACTCTTCATGAGGGTTTCAAAAGACACCAAAGGAGCAATCTTGGACAACAACAACAACCAAAAAAAAAAAAAGAGCCCCTCGGAAACTTTTTTTGCTCTGCACAGACAATTTAAAGCACAATGGAGAGTTGCATCACACCCTGTGACTCGGTATTTGTCTCCTCAAGAGGTTTTTATTAACTACTACTGAGTTGTTAAGAACGGCAAGTTGCAAGAAATACAACACGGTGTCTCCAGGGTCTTCCCACACAGTGCTGACATATTATCTACAGCATTAGCAAACAGCTTTACAGTCATTATTTGAGAAGTGGGCATTTGATTATTGAATGAAATGATTCTTGTACGTTAATCCACTGCCCCACATTGCAGCCCCTCGCCCTCAGGGTTTCAGGGTGTTTGGGCAGAGAGGGGCAGATCACAGCGGAGTCATGCAGGATAGGCCTCAGGAGCGTCGGCGGCTGGACCGGACAGGAGAGTCTGGCCCAGGACGACCCAGAGATGTGGAGTCTACTGCAGCAGGAGAAGGACAGGCAGTGCCGGGGGCTGGAGCTCATCGCATCAGAGGTAAAAGAAAAATAACAAAAATAAAGACAGAAACATGATCAAAGCACCATAAGATGGATTAAAAAAAGAAAAAAACACAAAAAGTTACCCTGTATGTATTACAGTCTCATCCGTTTATCATCTTTAGTGCAAAAACAGCATTTAGATGCAGGTTTTATGTGAACTGTGGTGACCCATGACCACCGGTGTGGGGACGAGAGTCATAATGGACAAATATTTGCTTGGTGTGTTGCGTCACACAGAGACTGTGTGTGAAATTAGTGCTGGAAAAACAGATGTGTTTTGAGACAGAAACGTTGTGTATTCTCTGGTTCTGTTGCTCCTGTTGATTTCCTCTTTTCCTCCTGCTTGCTTGTTCCATATTATGCCTAGATTATATTGTGCAGGCCAAATACAGACAGAAGCCTACATAGGTTTAACATTTATATCTCACATCATTGTCAGCCGCATAGAAATTTGTCATGTCTGCAAAATGCACTAATTCGTACTTTGTCCTATCAGTGGAACAGTAGCTGTTCAGTGGATGTAAGGGATGAGATGATGTTAATTATTATCCTTTGTGCTTTCCCGTGCACAGAGGTGTTGAAGTTTGCAGTATAAAAAAACAGGAAGCAAGAAAAAAAAACAACTTTAACTGCAGAAGGACCTCCTTCAGCAGTAAAACCACAAGTCACCAGAGCATTAGTTTCTAGAATTGAACTGTTTTCTTCAGTGAGATTTCCTTTGCGTTTTTCTCTCTCCCCCCTCATCCAAGTCACTGATTTCATCTAAGTGGAAGCTGTGGGAAAAGAAGGGTGCTTTCATTCTTTTATTCTCTAGCAATTATGAATCCACAGCACTATCAGTCACAATGACATCTGAAAGAGTTTCATCTTCTTGTCAGTCATTCGGCGCTGCAGGCCGACTCCCAGTGGAGAGCCGCCGTTTTTTTTGTTTTTTTACTTCTTCAGGAGCGCAGTCAAATGATCCTATTAGGTTCCCTCGCTGATTTCTTCCATTGATTTACACATTTTAAGTGGAGACAGGGGAGGAGGGGCGATCGTGTATATGTGTGAGTTTGTGTTTGCCAAGATCGTCTTTTTAAAATGTCATAGAAAGAGATTTGTGTCACATGGGGGACTGGTTTTAAATCCCACAGGAATGATTGAGGGATCCCTGAGCAGTGACAGGTTTAGTATAATAACAAGGCAGAGGGGGCGGCTGAGGAGGACAGAAAGCGAAGGAGAGAGAGAGAGAGAGAGAGAGAGAGAGAAAAGATGAGCTGAAGTGAGAGTGGGAGAGAAAAAAGCACGGAGACAGGGAGAAAAATTCATTTACATTCATTTCCTTTTCTGCAGCTATGTCTCTCCTCTGACATTTGACACAGTGCTGAGCTCCACAGGGATTCAGCACGAGTTACATTTTTCTATATTTGTCCCTTAATTTGACTTTAAAACCTCTAATACGGTTATATTTTTAGTTACGCCTATTTAATTTATGCTTGTAGCTTACAAAAAAGGCTGTGTTGAACCATAGGTGTTTGACAAATTTAGCAAATATAAATAGCGCTGATTATTCTTCTCCAATTTAAGAATTTGTCATATATTGTTATAATTGGTATTCGCAGGAGAAATACTTGTAGTCGAATTAAAGGCATTACTGGGTGAGTTAAGTTTAGACCATGTGCACACTGAAAAAGAGCAGAGGTGTTCAGTCACCCTCCTCCAGGCAAACAAAGGTTATATTTAGATGGTGACAGTGTTCTGAATATATAAGCATGATATAAAAAAAAAATGTACAGTGTGTGTAGATGTTGACACTGTGCTTGTTTGCCCTGTCAGAACTTTTGCAGCCGTGCAGCACTCGAAGCGCAGGGCTCTTGTCTGAACAACAAGTACTCTGAGGGATACCCAGGACAAAGGTAACTACACAGAAGATACACTTTTTTTCCAAACTATGTTGTTGTAATTATTTAAAAGATGCAGTTTTATAATAAAAAAAAATATGAGTGAAGTAGACCTGAGACCAAAGAATGTTACTCCCAGAGTATAATGTATGATGTGTGCATGAAACGCTATTATAGGATATTATACAACCCAATACGACACAATATGGAATGATATGACCTGATAGGATGCAACACTCAACAATAAGACATAATGTTGTGCAAGACTATGACATGAAACAGTTTATTATGATACGATACGATACGATATATGATATGATATGATACGATACGATACGATATGATACGATACGATACGATACGATACGATACGATACGATACGATACGATACCATCATGGTACTGCAATATCACACAGTACAGTAAAAGCTGATGTGATATATACCAATATAAAACAATGCAGTACAAAATATTGAGAGATGAGAGAGAATAAAAGATAAAAAATACAAGACACAATACAAGACAAAACATTACGATAGAGTCCAATTCAACACGGTATGATACGATGCAATGCAAGACAGTATGAGATGACAAAACACAAAGTGACCTGATACTCGACAGCACTGTACGATTCAGTATGATACGATCGATATTTGTTGTCTTTCGCAGGTACTATGGAGGTGCAGAGGTCGTGGATCAGATTGAGCTGCTGTGTCAGAAGCGAGCGCTCAGCGTCTTCGGTGTGGACCCAAACTTGTGGGGCGTCAACGTCCAGCCGTACTCCGGATCCCCCGCTAACTTTGCAGCCTACACCTCCGTACTGCAGCCTCATGACCGCATCATGGGCCTGGATCTGCCAGACGGAGGACAGTGAGTGAATATTTTACAATATGTTGGCAGAGGGTGCTCAAATACAGAACTTCTGCAGTCTTTGGTTTGTTGCCTGAGTAACTAGGCTGCTTATGAGAATGTACCAGTAATAGGTTTTCAAGGGCTTTATTTGTCACAGACACAATTATACATAGTAACGCACACTGAACTGTATTGTGCACCTGTTTCAGACCTAAACAATAATAACAATAATAATAAGATTAACACTCTAATTTAATTAACAAAAAAAAAACTCTGGTAAAAATGACCTTAAGTTACTAAAAACAACAGAAATAAACACATTATGAAAGCTGGGTGAGGGGAAAACATCATAAAGCTGCTGTTTGTGTTCTTGATTTTACTGTTTTTTTGTACAAAAATGTGACATTTCAGTTTAAATGGTTTCTGTTTTTGCAGACAGCAAACATGTTACTTTATGGAGAAACGAAACAAGAAAACAACACTGATCACTGATAAAATAGCACTTTTCTTAAATTACACGTCTGTCATGCCAGATATTGCATTTTTAGTTGCTGCAATTTTGTTAAATCCACCATGAAATTGCTTAATTTTGTCTGTGTGGTTGTGAGATTTTGACACATGAATATTGATGCTGTTTTTGGACCAAACGTCAAGAGGCGTTCATTACATGACAGATTGTTCATCTTGTTGTCTGGAGTCGTCATACGATGTCATCCTCTCTGAACACAAAACAATGCGAAATGTAAACAATAAAGTTTTTAAATCAATGCAGACCTGCAAGTTCTGCATGTCAAATAATCTGCATAAAATGTACATGTTGGTAGGAGCACAGTACAAGATAAGGGTTGGGGTTTTATTTAAATGTACGATAAATGTTTAATGTATATAGCACAAGCAAAGCAATACAGACAATAGCACACTGTATTTGTCTTCTTAAAAGGTCAACATAATAATTAATATGAGAAAAGTTAGTCTGAACATGATCAGATGAATTCATGTACATGCTCCTGCTAATAAATGACACCAGTCCTTACCACATTTGATTTTATAGTCATATAAAAGTCATATAGGGATCCAGATTTTTCCAAACTCAGTCATAGATTAAGTTTCATAACCCCGAACCTGCTTAACTTCTGGGATAATCCGAGTTTTAAATCTATTTTTTTTTCCATTTCCCCACATTTCAGCCTGACCCACGGCTACATGACAGACACCAAGAGAATCTCCGCCACCTCCATTTACTTTGAATCGATGCCTTACAAGCTAGACGTGAGTACCTGAAAAACAAAAAAAAAACTTGTGCTCTCTCGCTAAAATATGAAATGAGTTACTGTGAAGGAAACAGCTCTCTCTGTGTAGCTAAGCCTCTGAAGATAGACCTTTTATCCTCTAAACTTCTCCTGACCTGCCCAAATGGAGATTGTATGACATCGGTCTATAAAACAGATGTTCACCAGTCTACAAATCTTCTTCTATAGGATCCATAGCAACCTCATCCACCTCCTCATCCCCAAAGTCTGCCGCTATTCATTTCAGTTTTCTGCAGCTCTCGACTGGAACCAGTTACAAAAAATACTCAAACTCACCTTTTTTATACTTTTATCATCTTTTAAAAATATGCTGAAGGCACAACTTACTGAGTCCTGTACCTGCTTTTAGTGTATTTTATCTTCAAGCCTTTTATTGTTTTGTTTGTTTATTGTTTTGTTTTTTTATGGATATATTCCTCTTATTGTGTTTTCTGTTCTGTGCTGCCTCTTGGCCAGGTCGTTACTGTAAATGAGAATTTGCTCTCAATTAATCCACCTGGTTAAATAAAGGAAAAAATAAATAAGTCTTGACCCCATGTAGATGTGTTGTAGGAGGACAGGCAGGAACTCCTTGGGCCTCTCAAGGCGCCAAGCTATCTTCTTGTTTTCCCTTTCATCCATAAATCTAAATATGGTCTCCCACCGAAGGACGGTATACGACCTGAGGTATGAGAGAATCCTCAGAGCTGATGCTGGCATTGCATGCATGAACTGCTGCTCCGACAGTGTCTGCTCTCCTGGTATATCAGTAAACCTTGTTTCATCCTAAGTCATCTGAGGCTCCAGTGTGCCTCTCTGTGTCGGTTTCCTCACCTTCCTTCAGTCTCTTCAAGAATTCCACAACAGCTACGAGACTGTGAACACTTCTCTCTATCTCAGCCTAACACAGGTCTGATAGATTACGACCAGCTGGAGAGGACGGCGCGTCTTTTCAGACCCAGACTCATCATCGCAGGAACCAGCGCCTACGCTCGCCTCATCGACTACTCGCGCATGAAGAAGGTGCCTCTTTTCAGGAACTATGACCACAGCGTTGTATGCTAATGCAGAAGTTGTGCTGAAGTTAACTTCACCAAAATGCAGTTTACAAAGTCTTTAAAACCGAGAATGGCAAAATGCAATTTAAAAAAAAAAAGGAAAGTTAAAAAGTATTTCTAAAACATGGGAATAATGTGTCTGACTGTGTGTTTCAGCTGTGTGTGGAGCTAAATGCCTACCTGCTGGCAGACATGGCTCATATCAGTGGCCTGGTGGCAGCAGGAGCAGTTCCTTCTCCTTTCCAGTATGCTGACCTGGTCACCTCCACCACCCATAAGTCTCTGCGAGGAGCACGGTGAGTAGGTGAAAAAAACAGATCTGTCATGTAGAAAACATTCAATGAGCAAAAATGACTTGTCATGTCATGTGAGCAGCGTGACGAAGCAAACATAAACGTTTGCATTGTGTCCAAAGGTCTTAGTTTGTGCCCATCTAGACTAAAATGTGACTTTAGAGTTTTCAAACTCAAACGGGGTCATCATTGTTTCCTAAAGTCGTCCTTTTAGGCTCCTAAAACTAGACATAAAATTAAATTAATTTGTGTGGATGCAGCCTGATGCATCAATAAATCCTGTAGTTTTAGATTATCAGGTATTAAACCAGGATTTTTTTTAAAGGGACATTTCAGACTGACAGTGTTTCGCTCACTGTTTCCTTTCCACCAGGGCTGGCCTGATCTTCTACCGGAAAGGTGTGCGTTCTGTAGATAAGAAAGGCCGCGAGGTGCTCTATGACCTCCAGGACAAGGTGAACTTTGCCGTGTTCCCGTCTCTTCAGGGAGGACCTCACAACCACGCCATCGCTGGGGTGGCGGTCGCGCTCAGACAGGTCCAGATATTCATTTTTATTTATTATCAATACCAATAGTACAACTGGCTAAACTCGAATGAGAGTGCAACTCCTCCAGAAAAACACTCTGCAGAACATTTTGAACACCACCGCCTTAATTTCAGTGGCTCATGTTTAAAACATTCCATTCCTACAGTCATCTGGAGGATCCTGATATAGTCTTTCTCTTTCACGCGGCATAATTTCTGTCTCTGCAGGCTTCCACTCCGATGTTCAAACAGTACATCGCTCAAGTGCTGCTGAACGCCAAAGCCATGGCCAACGCTCTGCTGAAGAAAGGCTACACTCTGGTGTCAGGTACTGAGCATTTTTTTTCCCCTTTTATGCTAAAATGCTTTTGTATGTTGCTTTTATTTGTTTAAAAGCACGTATGATTACACATAAATGAAAATATAAATACGGTTTTTGTATTCTCTCTTACTAGGAAATTAGATTCAGCATGTGAACTTATATTGCTTTTCCACCTCTTAAAGACCTGATGCAATTGCTTTTCCCTCACTCCAACCTCATTTGCATTCTGTTTTTATGACTTTGGGGAAAGTTCACTTAACCTTCGCTTGACAGTTAAATGGAAAAAAGCCAGTGCTAAGTGGAATTTTTAAAGAAGCAACAACAGCTTTCCTCATTGTCTGCATGAAGGGCTTGAGTGGAGGGTTCAGGGAAATATCTCGCCACCCTGACTGAATTCCAGTTCGCTATAAACCAGGGGTGTCCAATCCTGGTCCTCGAGGGCCACAGTCCTGCATGTTTTAGATGTTTCCCTCTTTCAACGCGCCTGATTCAAATGATCAGGATCATTATCAGGCTTCTGCAGAGCTTGATGATGAGCTGATCATTTGAATCAGGTGTGTTGGAAGAGAGAAACATCTAAAACATGCCGGCCCTCGAGGACCAGGATTGGACACCCCTGCTATAAACTCTCTTCTCCTCTTAGGTGGAACCGACAACCACCTGGTCCTGGTTGACCTCCGACCTCGCGGGATCGACGGCGCTCGAGCTGAGAGGGTCCTGGAGCTGGTGTCCATCACCGCCAACAAGAACACGTGTCCCGGAGACAAGAGCGCCCTGACTCCGGGAGGACTCAGACTCGGTACTGGAGCTAAGCTTGTGCAGAAAAGTGCTGCACGAATGTAGCTGCAGGAATGAAGCTTGTTTGGACTGAATCTGTCAGCCAGTCAGTCTTCCTACCTGCATGATGCTGAAACCTCTCTTCTCGCTCCGAGTGTCTGCCGCTGTGATGTGTCTGCGTTTCCTTTTTGTCTGTCTTTGTCTGTCAGCGTGACTCTAAAAAACACACCAGTTATCAAGTTATCACCTCTTTATCAACTTTATCAGACTACGATTGTCACGTCTTTTTTTTTGTTTGTTTTGTTTTTGTTTGCTTGAATCTCTTCGTTCTTTTATCTACTGTCACCTTCTTACAGGAGCTCCGGCTCTGACCTCAAGACAATTTAAGGAGGCAGACTTCGAAAAGGTTGTGGACTTAATCGATGAAGGGATTCAGATTGCGCTGGATGTGAAGAAGAAGACCGGTGAGTGGGAGGGGGTTTGTGTTTGTGGAAACTTGCTTGTTTCAGGGCTTCCTGATGTTTTATTATCAAGATTATTCCTTGACAATGTTCTTAAAAGTAACATGATACCTAAGAATCATTTTTTTTCTTGGGATCGTGCAAAGTTCATAAGCAGGAAGGTGGCCTAAGAAAGAATTATGATCATGTGTTTTTCCTTTCTGTGTCTATCGATAGGAAACCTGGCTAGCTTCAAGTCCTGCCTGCTGGAGGACCAGGACACAGTGTCGCGTATCGCAGGGCTCCGCCAGCGGGTGGAGCTATTCGCCAGGCCCTTCCCCATGCCAGGATTCACTGACCACTAACAGCGCCACAGACAGGAAGCCTGTTTCATCCCCTCACGTCGCAAATGCACCCCGAGGAGCTGCAATGGAACAGTCTTAGAATTATTCGGATGATGTCGTCATGGTAACAAGCTTTGTTTCCGTACGCTGTCGGTTATATTTCGGCCTCTGTGCAGAAAGTCATTTCTGGACACTGACACGTTTCTATGTCAACTAAAAATGACATAAAAAAATGTATCTGATCAATTGAAAGTCACACAATACAAACTGCCAGGTACAAAAACAACAACGGTTCATGTAATGACTCTGCATCGCATTGCTATTCTCACAAGCTGAGACACTTTCAGTCCCTATATTTAGTATTTATACACAGTTTAATAAATCGTTTTTAACACATTATAATCATGTAATTCCAATAAATAACAAATCAGTTATAAGTCTTGTTATAAGTGTGCATTAGAAGTAAATAGGTCTTTGTCAGTGTATTTGTCGACACCCATAACTCCTCCTCTGAGGTCTTCACATGTGGTAAAATTGTAAAAATATAAAATATCTTTGTGGGAGAAGTTATATTTGTGGACAAATACTGTCCTCATGACTGCATACGACCATGTTATAGTGCAGGGGTGGGCAATCCTGGTCCTCGAGGGCCACAGTCCTGCATGTTTTAGATGTTTCCCTCTTCCAACACACCTGATTCAAATGATCAGCTCATCATCAAGCTCTGCAGAAGCCTGATAACGATCCTGATCATTTGAATCAGGTGTGTTGGAAGAGGGAAACATCTAAAACATGCAGGATTATGGCCCTCGAGGACCAGGATTGGAGACCCCTGTTATAGTGTGTTATTTATGACTTAGTAATAAACTGTTTATAAACACTAAATAGGTGGACTTACCTACATGTATTTGTGCTCCTCAGAAAGTGACACTTTCTAGAAATATATTTAGTCAGCATCGTCTGAGAAACACATTTGGTGGAACAATGTATTGTATTTAAAGTTGTTAAAACTAGTAGATATGAAAAAACAAAAGACATTCGTTTAATGCAGGAAAGTGAGGTTGATACTAGAGGTCATTTCTAATAAAAGTGAGATTAAAGAGACATTTCAGGAGTACAAATGTTGCACAGTTACGTCCACAGCAGCTGGGCTTTTTCCGACACTTTCCGCACTTCTTACTGTTGTTTGTTACCCAAAGCTGATAAGTGTTTGTAGGTATTTTGGCGTTTTGTCACTAATCCTGCTCGAGAGCTCTTATCAGGCTTTGTCCTGCAGCCTGGGAAACTTTACAGCAGCTGTGTGAGGAATCCAACACCGGTGCAGCTACAAAAGGAGAAAACAGTTAAAACAGCACAAACATTGTCATTCTGTTTTTAGGCTGTTCTTTTTTTATTATTCTTTTTTTTTTTTTTGCGTGTGACTTAACAAACCAGCTCTTGCACCTTTAATTTGTATTGTAAAGTGAAGAATGTACACTGTATATAGGAAATGACTTCTTAATTGCAATAAAAACTGAGCCTGAATGTTTACAAGTTTGCTGAGTTTTCATGAACTCCTTGTATTGTTCTCACTGCTGTTACGCAACATGTGACAGAGAGGCAGATGATTTATGTTTACAGCTGAAGGAGGGAGGCGTTTCTTCACATTTTTATAAACACTTGATCCACGTTAAGCTGCTGGAATTTCCTTTAGGTCTTCTCCTCTCGCTGCCACCTTCAGGGAAGAGTCAAGAAAACACAATCTGATCGGAGTTTTGTGCACTGAACAACTTTATTTGCCCAGTTGGATTTGCAGACAGCTCATGTTGTTCCCATTTAAATGAGATGTTTGCTGACTTCACTTAAAATGACATTTTCTCAGTTTGAAAGTAGACTTACAAGCACAATGTCTCTGTTGAAACCAAACAGAAGCAAGCAAGAGGTTGATATAAATCGATCATCAATACCATTTTTAATTCTCTTTTTTTTGTCTGCAACTTCACATTACATAATACTAGTAAACAGACACTTCATGATATACGTGAGAAGATGAGCTTATTATGCAACAGCACAATCTTTCACTGTCCTCACTGAACCTTCAAAACTCTGTTTATTGAGACACTTCCTCTCCCATTGTTTCTCAGATTGCCGCAGTCAGATCTTCATACTTCCAGACACATAAAAAGAGTCGGCCTCGTCTTTCCTTCACTCCGGGATGAAGTTATACACTTTGTTGTCATTTCTATTTTGATGTATTTATTCATTATTCTGAAGGAAAAGGTTCCTCTGAGACACAAAGCAGCACCAAACATGAATCAGCGCCGCCGCCGCCTATGGAGCGTTTAATATTTATGTCACTGACAAACTGAATGGACTTTTGTTTGGAGTCTTTGTGTCCTGTTAAGATTTTCTGTCCATTTTTATTTTATTTATTTATTTATTTATTTATGGTTGATGCTTCAGCTTCTGCCGGAGGAATGTGTCCCCTCCTCGGAGACTGGGCAGCTGAATCACAGGTCAGAGATCACGGACGTTCTCAGCTCCGTCGTCAGAAAAGACACACAAACAAACCCCACGGACACACAAACACACGCAGAGTCACAACGAACATAAGGCCTCGTCTCCGTGCCTCTTTCTCATGACCTGGCAGCTCCTGAGGCTTTAGGGAAATCGTTTGGCCCCTCATGTTCCATCGCTATAGGTCACAAGCCCTCTCCTTATTGCTACAGCAATCCCTGTGGTGTTCAAAAGCAGGAGGATTTTTTTTATTTTTTGATGTTCGCTACTCTTTCTTCTCCATTCATTGCCTCTTTCAGCGGCATTATGGCGAGGACTACACAGCAGACGCCGAGATGAATGCGAGCTCAAAGTGCAGAGAGAATGAAAAACGAGTCTCACCTTCACTTGACAAAGCTGATCTTATAATAGCTCTTTTTTTCTTTCCTTCAGAAGTAGCTTCAGTGAAAGTGAAGAAGTTAATAAAGAAGAAAAAAGTCACAAGTTAGAGACTGACGAATCCCGTGGTCTCCGTAGACTTCCTACCGATCTAGCTTGAATTTACATGACTTTCACAGCTTACACGGTGTTTTTGTTCCTGTGCTTTGTTCACGGCTCACTGCTGAGTACAACCTTTCACAAGAATAAGGCAAGAACAGAGGAAGCAAAGTTCAATGTGAAGTCAACACACTCAAAGAAATCAGTATTTGTGGCTGTGATCTGGGGTCTGTTCCTTGAAGCAGGTTTACCAAATAAGTGAGGCTTAAGTCTGGCTGACTGAAGAAAGCCTGACTTATTGTAAAGATATTTTCCATAGAGCTTTATAAAAAACATACGTATTATAGTAAATTATAATGAATCTAATAAATGTAATATGTATAGAATAAACATGTAATCTATACATTTGCAGCCCTGAGACTTATTTTTCTTATACTTTTTTAAACTTAGAACATATTTCAATAACCTGCATGTTTTCTTTTGACTGAATGTATTATGCCCAAGATTTAGTTATGTGCACATTTTACCATACTTTTTCACTTTTTCATTGTTTAGAAGCAACAATTAGAAAATAACTGATTTCGTTTTTATCTATAATTACTTCTTATAATGAGAATATGAATAATAAGAATTCAAAAAGAGCTTTAAAAAAAAAGTAGCTGCTGCTGCCTGCTGTGACGAATCGTCCTCACGCATGAATCACACATAAATAACAGCCTAATTTGACGCATGATCAGTGATAATAAAAATACAGAAAAACAGAAATGCAGAGCAAAAACAGCATAATGTGAGTGTTTTAAAGAAAAAAATCAAAAATCACACTTTCAGGGGAGCTGGTTCCACTGTTTCACACACATTGGATTTATTTACTTTATTACATTTTAACTTGCATTCAACTGATCAGCAGTTTCTCTCTGGCTTTATTCATGGCAGCTGTTTTGGTTGTTAGATGTTTGAATTCATACTTCTGGTGGCGGCTCTGTGGCAGTTTGCTGAGTCTGATTTATGCTCAGCCTCTCGGGCAGCTGAAGAACAGCACACATGCAATTATCTCCGCTACTCAAGCCTGTGTTAAAATCAAGCCTGATTGCATGAACTTGGATTGACCTCTGGTTTGTTTGTTTCATTCAAGTCAGATGTTGAACTTTAATGTCTAATTTTCTCTGCCTACTTTATGAAACAGGCCCCTGAATAATCTAAAGTATTGATTTGTTAATTCTGTTTTTTCAGTCCCCAGGCTTAAAAAAAAACAAGCATTCAACCTTTGTTCTGTTCTTTAATCATACATCCTTTTTGAAGATAGATGTGGATTTAGAAGCTGCAATGCTAAACTTTGTGTAATACTCTGACTGTATGAACCCTCACTGCTTTGTTTAAATGCATGGATGATTGTTGGGATCTCTTTAAAGCTGTGATTCAGTGATGCTAAAACCTATGAAAAATACATATTGTTCTTTTCTTAAAGTCAGTGAAAAATTACTCTTTCAACCCATTTAGATTTGTGCTCATATTAATGTAGAGACAGTGATCACTTTGTGCAGAATGCCACTGTTTTGGATCCTAAACAGCAAGTCCTGATTACACAAATCAACACATTTTAGTATGAAAGTCTGGTTTAAGGTTACAACAAGGGTTAAGTTTAAGCTAATCCTCCAGAAACTGATTGTAAGTTAATGTAAAGTCCTCTGAGTTGATGGAAACATCACTGTGTATGTGTGTGTGTTATGTGTGTGTGTGCTCAGGTTGGGCACACAGCGTTCTGCTGTCATACATCAACGCCACGCATCCTGCCACCGCTGTCACTGATCAAAGACTCCGGGCTGCTGTCACACACACACACACACACTCGTGCACGCATGCAAACACGCAACCACACATGCACACGTTAAATGTTGGTGAAGAGGCACCGACAATCAGGCTGCAAAGCGACAGCTGCACCGCCAACAGATGGATCTGTTCCACCAGAGTCACTGATTGTGGATATCAAGGTGTGGAAAAAGATCTGTATCAGCTCCATGCAGGTGTTACGTGTGTGTGTGTGTGTGTGTGTGTCAGTGGAAAAAAAAAAAGAAGAAGAAAAAAAAAACACCAAACATGAATCAGACAGAATCAGTTTATTTATTGAAAGAATCCAGACTGCTTCATGCCTCTCTGCGTTTTTCAGAACTTACACAGTCGTTGCTGAGTTTAGTGGCTGCTAAACCCACAATCATGTGACAGTTGTGAAGAAACAAAAGCAGTCGGTCGCATTAGTTTGTCCTTTAATATAATGCAACGCAGCCGGCCTGTATTGCGATGTGAGAAGTTGGTGTCTGTTTAACCTTCAGATATTCAAAACAAACTGAAAGCAAGCAGAAGTTTTAGCTCGTTAACAACAAACCATAGATATATTTAACATTCAACCATTTGCGGATACAGGCTCATAAACTTTTGGGTTTTCGGATCTGTTTTTTTTCTCCTTCTTGCTGTTTCGTGCAGCTCTAATGATTCCTCTGCAACATTAAAAACAGATCTGAGTCAGATTTTGGAATTTGGAATCCTGTGATTGTTTATCATAGACTACAGAAGTAAATAAAAACCAATAAACATTCAAAATAATACATTCAGATTTGAGTTCATATGAAAACAAGCCAAACCACTGATCTAATGCTTTAACACAGAGTCAAATCTTAGCGGTTACTCTTCAGTATTTGACATAAGGTGAGCATATGTGTTGCGTGTAAATGCATGTAGAGATGCTGTGTTTTTCAGTTTGCCTTTAGGATTGATTCCCTGACAGTACCAGTCACATGAAGCAGCTTTGAAGACATCATACAGACACAGACACTAAAAGGGTTCTGTATACATCCTGATCTGGGATCCATTTCACCTGCAGTGTGGACAACAGCGAGGGCAGGAGGAGCGATTATGACCCCAGATCAGGGTTTTCTGTAATTTTTCCATTCTGGTTTTTGAAGGAAAATCAGAAATCAGGTCCTTCCTTCTTCAGGTTTTTGTAGTCTGTGTCGATGGCCACAAACTGGGTAAGAAAAAGATCAAATTCAATGTGGAAACTGTGCAAAAAAAGACGATCAAACCCAATTAAATCACAGTCAGTGTCCACGAGCAGTGAATGCTGGTTCACGTTTGCGTGCTGTGTTACCTTGTACTGGTACGTGGGGTCAAGTCTATTCCATGGTTCTGGGTTGTGAGTCTTGTTCCAGCTAAACAGATACACAAAGAATTGGCATACGTTAGGCTCCTTGGAAATCTAATATAAATTAACCAAACTCTTATTTCCCTAAGCTGCTTTATTTCATCGCTTCTTTGTTAGCTTGCTCACCAAAAAATAAATAAAAATAAAAACCTAATAAAAAGAAAGCACAGAAAACCAAAAGTCAGATTCAAATTCAGCTCACATGGAGCTCTCAGCCTGGTGACACTCTTTCCCAGAATTTCATCAAGCTTGTAAACAATCGCTGCTGCAAAGAAATGATAAAAGACCTGCAAACAGACGAGACGGTGCACCATCCTGTGCGCTCTTGGAAGAAAAGCACCAAGCTGCGTCTGCTGCTGGAGTTTCATAAATCAACAGTTTGGATAGCAGCGGGAGGAGAGGAAGTCCAAGCAAGAGGTGGTTCAAGGTGGAGATAAAAAGCGAGCGGGGATCCCTGTTGTCAGACATGATCCTGAAACAAATCTCTGTGCTTAGCCAAAGTAGAAAAAAAAAATCTCCTCTCCACACACCTTTTAAAAATATGAACAAATCTGCATTTCAGGAGGAAATTACCAGAGGAAGGAAGTCTGTGTTTAATTAGTCTGAAAGGATCCTGTGGGGGGGCATTGATCAGACTTTGGGAGCTGCAGGCGAATAAAGTAAAAGCAGAAGTGAACAGATGTGTAAACCTGAGAGAAAAAAACATCTGTTTAACAAGCGATTTAGAAGTTTCTACAAGGTGACACATTTAATTAAAAAACATGTTTCTTAATTTAATCAGTTCAAGAAGATGAGCTTTACTACTTTACCAATGTTCATTTGTGTTGTTTTTCTTGCACACTATCAAAAATCACAAGGAAATGTTCAGGTCCTTACGTAACATGGGGTCCTCTGGCCAGCCGGATCAGATATAGAGTTGCTCCTCCCATTCCCAGACAAATAAAGAAGAACTGGGGGATGAGCTGAAGAGAGACAGAGATAATTCAAAGATTAAGTTTCATAATTTCATGTGTTCTAGCCAATCGGAGAAACTGTAGACTTTTCACCATCGGGCATCGTCTGGAACACAGCCGGGACATTAAACACAAAGAAAGTTTCATTTAAAAAGAATCGTTTCGATAGAAAGAACAAAAAAACTTTGATCAGTTGTTTCAACACAGCTCACCAGGATGTTTTTTTGCATCAGGAACAGAGATGAAGACCTTTGATTCGTTATTTTGTCAAGAATCTAACCGAGCAAATGCTAACCCCCTCCAAATGACCTTTATGGAGAGTTATCTCTGTTTGTTCTTTTTATTGCACCGGTGTCACGATTGTTGATTTGCCATTTAGTAGAATTTGTTTTTCCTGTAATTTTCTTTTTATTAAGTTTTTCTCTTTTTCACAACCAAACATACACACTCCATATGAAACCAGGAGGATGACATTCTGTAAATAAAACAAAACACAGAGACAGAGCATCATATCATACAACCTGTTACCTACACAAGTGTCCATGCAGACTTTGTGATGCTAAATATATACTCTAAATAATATATTTTCAGTATTAAATAATATTTTACTCCATACTAAACAAACCAGCGTACCTCACACTACAGGAGACATACCATAGGTGAGCTAAGGGTGTAACTCTAGCTCTTCAGGCTATCTCGGTAAAAGGGCCCCATATTGTAACATAAGCCTCTTCCCTCTCTATCAGTTTATAGCTTTCATAGGAGGAGATTTTAACCAGTTCATCAAACCATTCCTTTACTGAGACTTCTCCTGTGCCTCAGCACGATCCTGCACCGTGACATTTGGTGGGCATTCAGCCCATAGATATGTATAATAAAGGCTTGATGTCTTAAGGCGGTGTTTCGAACAGGATCACCCTTCGGCCATCTTGAGCTCTCTGGTGGAAGCTGTGGTACGTGAAGGAAGGTGATTGATCTGCACAAATGTAAATACTCTTATCGCGCTGAAACAGTTTGGTTTCTTATGAACGTTATTAACGTGGCTACAATTCAAATAACAAAAATACAAATAAAATACAAAATAATTGAAATACTAATTGTTGCTCGCCGTGAGAGTGTAACATAATTATCCAGTGTTATAACTACACCTCTGACGTTTTTAACAAACCAAACCGTGAGCAAGTTATGGTTATTTAAAAAGTACTTGCACCACTACAACACAATGTTATGGGTGAGCGAGCGCACCGTACCAAGATGGCCGCCAGTGTAGCTGTGCAATTCCATTGGCTGGCAGCGCTGATGAGACATCTAGCCTTTATTATACATATCTATGATTCAGTCAACATCTCTTCGGTATTATGCCCAATATGCAGAGCGCAGGTTCCTGTACCAATGCAGGGGACTTTGCTAATAAAGGAAGCAATCTTGGACCACAGCACATCTATCCTATAGGGCACGAGTACAACGTAGTTTTTTGTACGACCAGCTTGCTGATAACTAATCTCACTACTAGCTGTGTTCAACTAAGAATGTTTAAGACTCAAAACTTAATTATCATTCTTACCACTCACTGTACTTCGCATACAGGTGAGACAAGATAAAAAACAAGAAGTGTTCAATTGAGCAAAGAGGAGAAAAGTACAATGAACAAATGTGTTGCTAATTCAAATTTCTGCTGAATTGCTGTTCTAACTTGGATAACTTTGTTCATTTTTCTGTTTCTCTTGTACATGATTGTTTATTGGACTGATTACAGCGTACTGTAGATCTGTCACTGATGAGATGTTGTTCTTCTTGGAACTAAGCTCAAGCTCTTGGCTCTTTCTGTGGGATTTCTAGTATTTTGGCAAAAAAAAGTTCACTTGGTATCCAGGATGTGCTGATTTCAGGGTTCAGAGGTCATTGTGGCTTCACATGTTTTTGGCCATGAATCACATACACAAACATCTAACAGGGTAAAACGATAAAGGAATGACATTTTATATCCAAAAGGTCAAAAGTCAAGTCTGGATGGACGCGGATGCAAACGCAAACTTGCTGCTGGAGGAAAACAACCACGAGGCAGCGGTTCTAGTTTACAACTGATCTCACTCCTGGCATCATCTTGCAATTTTCTAAATTGTAATCAGTGTTTCTGTTGTGTGCTGTTTCTAAAGACTTTAAGGGTCAGCCTCTGCCTCTAACCTTTAGTGGAAGTGTGTTAAATTCTTACACTCAGACTTACAGTGGCTATAAAAAGTAAAGCATGTTAATCTGTCTAACCAGCAAAATATCACGATGCATGAAAACTTTTCCTTTCCTACGATGCATCAGCCTCAGTTAGCTTCATGACTCCTGACACTATGCTAATTAAACGTCTCAGAGAATAAGAAAAAACACATTCTTGAATTTAAAGATGCAGCATTGTTTAAAACTTATGAGCGAAGTGAACTTATTGAACTGCAAGTGCCATTAGGTTTAGAAGAAAATGTCTTCGCTAAAGAAGCTGAAACTCACTCTGTACTGCCGGACTGGGCTTATTTGAAAACGTACATCTGATCTGACTTCGTGTCCGAATGTAACGAGAGTTGATCTGAGCCACCGACCAGCAGCAGCTCTGAGGATTAACTAACTAGTGGCCTGATTTTGCTGCGTCATCCTCCGTCATCCCAGTGAACCTGCTGACACACTGCACTGAGGTGTGTGACTGCATGTGAAAGACATTATTGTTATTAATTACTTGAGTATTTTACTTGTTATTCTACTTTCTAAGTCATTAAATTTCAGTTGGAAATATTGTACTCGTAGCTCCACTACAGTTATCTGACAGCTGCAGTTACCAGCTACTTCTGAGATTTAAACATTACACTAAATAATAGATGGTATTCTTATGAAAACAGGTTTTAAACAACAACAGTCCTGAATGTTTTAGATGTTTCCCTCTTCCAACACACCTGATTCAAATGATCAGTATCGTTATCAGGCTTCTGCAGAGCTTGATGATGAGCTGATCATTTGAATCAGGTGTGTTGGAAGAGGGAAACATCTAAAACATGCAGGACTGTGGCCCTGGAGGACCAGGATTGGACACCCCTGTCCTAGAAGAATGAACCAGTTACTTTGAAAGAGAAAATGACTGATTTATTAAACTACAATCAATTATAGTGCAACAGAATGAGCCTTCATTAGATTTGATTAGTTTATTCGCTAAAATGTTGAATGTCCACCAGTTGTTTTTTTTTATGACAGAGTGGATCCTCCGGGGGATGATATCAATGTTGTACAAATCTGTAGAAATGTCCCACCTTTCTTTAGAAATGTAGTTTCTTGTTATGCTACCGTCCACTTCAAAATATTCCAGAGTTTTCAAACTGGATTCCATGCCAGGTGATGCATTTGACCACAACATTAAAAAAATAAAATAAAATCTCACTTTTTTCCTTTTTAAAAACTCTCGTGTGGTTGTGGCAGATCACTGTCAAACTGAAAACTTTGTCTCCTGCAAACCGTCTTGAGATCAGGAGTCATCTTGTCAGTCAGTAGTTTGGTACATACCAGGTTCACGCTAAACGTGCTGGAGTCCATTTAATCCAAATTAATTTATCTTGGCCTCGTCTAACCGAATACACGTTGCCAATATTCATCAGGCTTCTATTCGTGATCCTTGGCAAAGCTTTTTTTGTAAGCAACAGTTTCTTCCTTGAAACCTGTCGTAGAGGTAAACTTCATGCAAAGTCCCTCACATTGTCTGAATCACCAGTTTCCACAGATAATTCCTGTGTTCTGGTCTCTTTACCTCCTAACCACTGCTGCAGATGTGTTTCTGCTTACCTTCAGTAGCCTGTGATGCTTAAAGTGCTATAAAGTCACAGCCGCATGCATGATGGTAATTAGGTTTGCTTAGTGATCATCAATTGTAGATTTTTCATTTGCCTTAATCAATTTAATATGATCTAATAATTCCCTGAAATTCACTATATTTTGAGCCAGGGTGCTGTTACACTATGTGGTTGCTCCAGCATAGCATGGTGTGAGCAGAGCTAGTTCACTGTTTGGATAAAAAGGATCTGCAGCTTGTACAGAAGTGACAGCAGGACCGTGGTCTCCATTTCATCCACAATCCGCTCGTTAAAGTATCCTACTTGTCACATGCGTGGCACGCTGTCTCCTGGCTTTAAGCATGATGTCGACAGTCATACAAACACTGTCAAAGATCTGTAACAGTCGCAGTATTGAAGTGATTCATCTGTGGTGATAAACCAGCTTGCTAATGCTTTTTATTCACTGCTAGGCTTCATGTTCTTGGAGCAGAATCCAGGTTTTCCTTGGCAGCTGTTTCATGGGGTGAAAAGTGCTAAAGTATTGATGGTAGTCAGGAAAGAGAGGTCAGTGATGTGCTTCTGACGAGAACTTCTGAAATCATCCGTTTTATAAGAAAATGGGAATTCAGGTGATGCTTCTTTTTAAAAAAAAAAATGAAATCATGATGATGTTTACTACATTTTGGGACTATATTATGAGTAGCGGCTGCACCCACCTAACCATCCACCTACCTACCTGCCTGCCTGTCTGTCTGTATATCTGTATCTCTGGCTTTAAAGACTCTTTCCATCTCCATCCATCCGTCTGTCTGACTAACTATCCATTCATCCGGCTCGTTTTCTGTCCTGCCTCCTGAACTCAAACTTTCGGACTCTCTCTAACAGCCTGTCTCTGCCTCTCTATCCGTCTGCCTGTTGTAACTTGATCAAGGAGGTTTGTAGAGTTTCTCAGGGATTTGCTCCCTGCAGCTTCTCCCTCTCTGTCTCTCTCTTCCTGTCTGTCTCTCGATGTGTCTGTCAGGATGATAGACCATATCAAGGAGCTCTGGTGGAGTCTCATAGGGATTTCCTCCCTGCAGCTTCTCTCTCTCTCTCTTTCTCCTGGGAGGCTAATGACAAGAAGTTAAAACTCAGTCACTCCTCTCGCTGACAGCAGAGCTGGTTAAAAAATGCAGAAATAATCCCCTCCCCTGTAGGGACAACTCATATTTTTAAATTCATTTCATTCCAACAACTCATTTCCTAACTGCTTAGATTTTGTCAGTTTAGATTTAAAGGGTTTGCAGAAGTCATGGATGTGTTTTTGAAGTCTTAAGCCTCACTAAGTTTGGCTCGAATTTAAAACGAGCCACCGGAGCAACTTAACCTACTGAATTAGAGCTAAGATAAGATTAGATGGGACTAAATTAGACCCCTTCTTTGACCAATTAATTCTCCAGCACGCTACAAACACTACAGAAACTCATCACACATGTCTGTATATAGGAACTAGAACTAAATAAATAATTACATTTATTATTCTGACACTCATTATATTAAACTAATTGTGCAATATTTTCTAAGACAGTTAACTAATAAAGACATTTTCAGTGATATTTGAGACGCTATTTGTGTTTAAGTGAGATCACGAAAAGATAAATCCATTACAATGTGTTTGTATCCTCTGATTAAAAAAAATAAAATCTAAATCTGAAATTAATCATGATTTTAAAAGCCTACCCAGCTACTGATGCATTGTTCCAGCAGAATAGATACACAACCAAAAAAAGAACATGATTATAGAATTTATATTTTAATCTAACTCACTATTACAGACGCCAGAGTTGTTCAAATGTTTCATAATAATTTTCACGTGAAGACATTTCTGCTCCAAAAACTACTTTCAGGGAAATACAGACAAATCGTTGGGTAGATTTTAAAATACTTTGGACATGAAAACTAGCTTCCAAACATGAAATTACTAAAAAAAATGAATAAACAAGAACAAAAATAAAGCCTACTTACTCCAGGGTGCTTCTTGGCGTGCTCTACTGCTGTCCGAAACATCTCTTCTCCAGTCAAGACAAATGCATACAACAAAATGATTCAGAGTCAAAGTTTCATCAACAACCATAAGCTTTGCAGAGACGTGCACAGATGGGATTTAGACCTGTTGCTCTGTGCATGTGGAGCCAGGACGAGGGGGGAGGAGGAGAAGGAGGTCATTTACATCTGATTACAGCTACTGCTGCTCCCTTGGGTGATTACACTGCTGGACACCGTGTCGCAGTTTAAACCCAAACAGAACACTAAGGTTTCTTCCATGTAAATACTCTTTAAATACCTGAACCGCCCACATCTCAGGCTCATATCAGGGTGTTCAATCAGCAGAAGTTGTGCAGATTTTTCCTCCACCATTTCCTTCACTGGGTTTGAAGACTTTTGGGTCTTTGGGGGACTGACTGGAGGAAATGGAAAAGCATACAAACACTGTGTCCTTTTAAAGACCACTGGGGAATATCTGTGCATATGGACCCTTATCAGTTACACGAGGAGAAGACACACACACTCACAGTAATGAGGCTCTGAACAACAGTCTTCACTGGACGGACTTTGTCTCTGAAAGTTGAAGTTAACCAGACGTTCTGTCAACTGTTCAAAAGACAAAATGATGCAAAACTGTACACAAGCTTGACAGACATGTTGTTTCGTGATTGAATTATTGATTCTAGTTAATGACATCTGAAATCAGGGGCACTCGATCACTGTGCTTGTACCGTTAAAGGGTTTTTCAAAACGTCAATCAGCTGCATTTAAACACATTAAGTCAGCTGAGTGACCATTTAGTTCTGAGCAGCTGATGTTTAAAGTAAATTAAAGGGAAACTGCCGCTACAGACTGCTTCAAATGTGGTTCAACCTGGAACCGATCAGCTCTGGAGGATTATTAGCGTTTAACCAGGACATGCATCTTCATCTGAAAACAGAAGAAGAGTGAAACATGAAAAGACGACACCTTTACATTTCAAGTGTTGCTGCACAGAAGTGATCAAAAGAGATGAAACCACCAACCGACAGGTCAATGCAACAATGCTTCTCCACTCCAAACCATTTACTGTTGTGTTATTGACACCAGCAGTGGAAGAACCACAGATGAGGTTTTGGGGCTTAACATAAATAAAGAAAACTTCCCAATCTGTTTAATGGACCTGCGTTTCTCTCTTCTTCTTTTTTTTCATTGTGCTCCAGTTCAATCAGTTCTGAAACCACATGTTCGTTTCATCACAGCCACTATAGATGTCAGTTCTAGATAACACAGATGATTATTCTAAGAGACAGGTATATTTCATAATTCAGAGTGACATTTATTCATTTTTAAAGTGTAAATGTATAAAAGTCCATTTAAAAAATATCACGGACAGCACCTTCAAAGATCATTTGCAGAGCAGGACCCCCGAAGTTTTGTTTTTTTTTTTTTTTAATATATCAGCAGAGATTCATTGTAATGACTTCATCAGCCTCAGACAAGGTGTCTGCAGATGGTAATAAATCCCAGAGTGCGACGGGGCCGCGGCTCCTCCTGTCAAAGTTTAGTGTGCATGTGTGGCGAATGTGTGTGGTTCAGGTTTACAGTCACATCATGGGGACACGTCTGGTTTATGGGGACCAAAAGCAAGCAAATCATTAGAGTTTAACGTCGTTATGGTTACGGTTAGAATAAGTCTCTGGGATGATAACAATGCTTTCTGGATACACAACTCTGTGTGTGTGTATGTGGACTGACAACATCGGGTTGCACGGTGGTCCAGCGGTTAAAATGCTCCGTCTGGGTTCGAACCTGCTGATCAGCTGGCGTCTTGACGATGAGGGAGCTCTGAATGTTCTTCTTGTGCCTGCATGGCTTTTCCTCTGAGTGGTTTGGCTTCTTCCTGCAGTCCAGTGACATGTGTGTTAGTTTAATTGGTGATTTTAAATTGGTCATAGATGTGGGTGTGCATGGTTGTCAGCTAGCCGTGCAATGGACTGGTGACCTGTCGCCTGTGACACCCTGCAGGATGATGGCAGTAGCTAATGGATGGCCGGGCCTCACTTTGTCACATTCTTTCAAATGGATGCTTCAGAGTGAAGACATAGTTTTAGGGTTGAGGTTAGAATTAGGTTTAGATGAAGGTAACCACTGGGGTTGGTAGCTTAGCTGTGGTAGGGTGCAACAGAATGTATTATATTATGAATGTCCTCACATAAATAGCCATTGTGTGTGTGCGTTTGTTGTTATGGTCGTCAGAATTTTTGCAAATGAGCTTCTAGAACCAAATCAATCTCCGTCACGTCTAACTCAGACACATACTTACAGGTTTTACTATGTTCATTGGGTCAGAAAACTAGAGGCCTGCTATACTTGTGGAGTCCGACAGCTTTGTAAGGGCCAGGACGATGGATCCCATGAGCTTAAATGGCTGTTCAATGGTTAACACTTGGTTTTAATGTTAGGTATGGTTTAAAAAACAGAAGCAATTTGAATATTTCGAAATGCGGGAAATGTGAAGGGCATTATTCTAGCCCGACCTGTCCAGGGTGTCCCCTGCCTTCACCCTAAGTTGGCTGGGATCGACTCCAGCCCCCCTGCGACCCTAGTGAGGATTAAGTGGTGTATAGATAATGGATGGATTATTCTAGCCTGACTGACCAGATGTTAACTGGGGGTATACGCCTACCATTGGCCACGCATTTCACACGTTTTTCCCCTTCTGCTACCTACGCGTTACCGTCTTAAATGGCACCTTCACTACAGGAAATAACAAAAACAAACTACCACACTGGCAACTTCAGGTTTTGTGGTGAAGCTGGGTAAAGCGGTAGGGACATTTAACCATTGTAATGATAGTTCAGGCCTTCCTGCATGTAAATGTTGCACCAAAAAAAAATCCCTTGTCACTCTTCTGAGGGGACACCATCACTGCATCCTTGGCTTAGCTCCACCCAAGATGACTGTAATTGGTTTAAAGAAATGCAAACAAGCCAAAGGGTTTTTCCCCCTTAAGTAGAATGGTGACTGTTCTGTACTGCAGAATGGTTTGACTGCACGGGAATAGGGTTGAAATTAGAGTTTAAGGATGCATTATGTCAAATAACAGCAATAATCAGGGCATACTCAACCAGCATTTTACATCCGTTTTAAAGTAACAGAGTCCAAATCTGCTCTTTCAATATGAAGCACTGTTTTCTTCAAAGGTTTCTCTGAAAAGTTTGAAGCTGAGTTCAAGTCACTTATAAAGGATTCAAACAGTGACAGGTTTTCACTGTAGTTTTAAAAAAAAAAGCTGTTAAAACATCCACAAACTTCTCAGAGTGCTCCTGCAAAACCGTCAGCTCTCCAGTGTTAAAGCAAACACGTATTAATCTCAGAATAATTCTGTGCTGCTTTTGTGTCACAAACTGCAAATTCTGGTGGATGATCTAGAGTGGCATTACTCTGCAAGAATATTTTAACGGTTTTGTTTGGTATATTGGTCATTTTTTTCTACTGTGGAAAATTGGAGTCCTTTGTTACTGGTATGAAAACAAGCTCACAACACCTATTGTTCCCTGTTACAAATACAACAAATTAAAGTGAAAGACTTCAGAACAGTCTCGTTATTAGAAACTGAATATCAGTTGGACAGCCGCTCTTTACAAACTGCCAGTGTTCTCTGTCTTGGAAATCTTTAGGATCCCTCATCTGATCCATGAACCTCCTACTGACTGGAACTCAAAGTTCCTCTGGTTCAGTGGCAGCTGACATTTCTGCCTAATGTGAAATGATAAGATACGAACGTTTGACAGTTTTTTGGAAACACCAGCTGGGAAGTCAAGAAGCACCGAGGAAAATATAGCACCAACTTACCTGAAATTCCATTTAGACATTCACTTTGCAGTCTAAAATACGTGTGTTTTGAAATGTCTCACAGTTCCAAAAAGAAGAAAAGGGTCTTTTAAGGGGAAATCTTATAAATGTAAATATTTAATCTCAGCTGCTGGCGGTGTATGTCAGCGTTTGATGAATAAGAGACAAAGCAAACAGACTTGTTCTTTAGTTTCAAACAACATATTGTATTGACGAAAAAGAACTATACCAGCAATTAGCGGGTTTGTTTGATTTGTATACAGTAGACGGTGAAGAATAACCTGTTTAATTTTAATTAGAATTTAATTAACTTGCATGTATAATATCAAAACAGATTTAAAATAATGAAACAAAACTTCAATAATGGGCTGTAAGGT